GCTGCCTTGTGGTAGTGTGCGACACGGGCAGTCCATCTCTCTGCTTCTTGTCTGGATGGTGGCAGTGCCATGGCTTCGGACTGAGATGAAGATGACGGAGCTGCTATTGCCTGATCTTCCTCTGGATCTTCAGCGTTCTCAGCAGCCATGATGTCCTTCTCATTGATGAAGTCCAGGGAGTTCACATCTTCCGATGGCTTCGACCATTTTCCATGGATAGAAGGCTGACCGGCTTGTCTCCTGTCCGGTAATATTCACATGCTGATGGATTGAGCAGCACGTTTTGGCCTTGAAGCGGCTCCAGAAGCCTTCGTCCGTGGTGTTGATGCGCCACTTCTTGTGAATGAAGCCAGTGCCATCGATGGACTTGAGGTCATAGCAACATCCATCTATGCGGCATTGTTGCCAGGGAATGCACTGTTCTTCCATATATGCCTGTAGATCTTGGAGTGCTCGTTGATGCCAACCAAGACATTCTTTTGGCCATTCCCAGTAGATGAAGGTCTCGGGGTCCTCCTCCAAGGCGTCCTTGATGAAGCGTGCAGCGTAGCCAAGCATGCGACGCTCTCGACGACGATAGCTCTCCAGCAGCTCTTGTCTTTCTGGACCTTGGTAGTTCAAACGGGTCCAGGGGCACCACTTGGTGCAAGGAAGTGAGAACCACAATCTCTTCGGACGTTTCACCTTTCTCTCATGAGCCAGCCGCTCCCAAGTGGCAGGTTGATAGAGATCATAGCCTTGGTGAAGATTGACCCTTTTGCAGTGTAGTCCTTGGCGTTCCGAAGCCTTGGTGAGCCAGCTGTCAGGAGCGCAAGCAAACTCCCACAAGCCATCTCTTTGATCTTGTATGAGGTCCATGGCTGTGTTGGTCAGGGCTGTGGTCAAAGTGGCGGCCATGAGCATCACCTTGGCCGCCATGTGCTTGCTCACTGTGCGACATGCTCCTGCTGGTAGGCCTCTGCCAGGTTCTCGGGATCGGTGATCACGTGCCAACTCTGAGTCGACTGCGATGGACTCTGAGTGCTGGGAGGCGTTGTCTTTGCCTTGGCTGTGGGTGAACCGTACCCGTGATCGTTCTCGAGCACTTGATGCTTGTCCTCCGGGCGCAGAATGGCCTGGTTGATCGTGACCATGAGGGACTCCTCCGCCTCAATCTTCTTGAACATTGCCCGGCAGATGTCGATGGTCGGCTTGTAGCCGCGCATCAGGGGTTCCAGCTGGTTGAGCATCTTCTGAACCATTGCCGGACTGTCGTTGCGGGTCGTGTTGCCATGCTTGCCCTCCCGGGGCACGTACTTCAGACGAAGATGGCACACTTGGCAATCCACCCATTGGCCATGAGGGTTGCTCAGAGGTTTGCCCGCCTGGTGCTGATTGTAGCACGGCCATTGATGGATCTGACAGCGAGGGTCTCGAGGATCTGCATACACCGCCCTCGAGGAGTCGAAGGGAGCCGGCGGTGCCTTCTTCGGTGTCGCCTCGGTCACCTGCTTGACCATCGCATCCACACCGGCTGGGGTCAAAGTCTTGGGAGCCATTCACGCCGAGGGAGTGCGAGTACAAATTGGGGCTGGTGTCAACGAAGTGGACACGCGGCATCGAAGACTGAGCCAGATTTTGCCGGTGAGTCACACCTGCTGCATGAACTCTGTGCAAAAGTGCTTTTGAACGATCATGTACATCTTCACTGACTGTCATGAACATGAACGGTGATGAAGCTACCATATCATAATACTCCAAAGGATGAAAAAGAAGAGGTTGAAGTGCAAACGCCGTCTGTTGATTGGACCCCTTGTGCACATGAATAGAAGCGTGACCAGAACCAACATTGCCCATCGTAAGGTAGTAGGAGATGTCTGGGATATAGTGTCCCTTGTTGTTGGTCTTCAACTGATATGCTTCGGGGTGTTCTTCATATGCATTCAGGGCCAATCCCGTCATGAAGTCGATCAGCATCGCGGATTCGGCTCCGGCCAAATGGTCCATGCCCAAAAGTATTGGAACCAGGGTGCCCTTGTTGGTGTCAAACTCAGGTGGATTTGGCAAAACATACAGTCCAAACGCTCGAAGATGACCTGAAACCTTGCTGGGAAAGGACCACTCTGTAAAGTGCCTGACCCCATCGACCATTCCCGAATCGAAAGTACGGCCGCGCGTACGGTTGCACGTCGATGGAGGCTCCAGGATCAAAGCTCAGCAAGGCCTGGATCAGCACCTTGACTGATTCTTCAGGGCCTGCCGAGGCAGTAGCACCGCTATCAATCAAGGCCTCGCCAGGAGAAACATTGGCCGATGAGGCCGCATTCAAATGCTCAGTCGTGAGACTCTAGGTGCGCAGGTCGTGAAGGTGACTTTGACTTGGTTTTGCCCTTGCCCTTACCGATCATGTACGTGTCATACACTGGGGAGTAGTCCGTGTAGAAGGAGCTGTAGCCCTTAGACTTACCCTTGTGGAACTGGGGATGTATGCGATCTGGACATTCTCGTGCCAGGTGTTGAGTTGAACCACACTTGAAAAACGCAGGACGAGGCTGTCCCTTGCCGGTGACATGACCAAAGCCGCGATCTTTCCGAAGAGCAGCTTGAGCACGTTGGGCCTCGGTCCATGTGCGCTGTTCCAAAGCCATGCCATCAGCTGTCTTTAGATGTCAGCTTCTGGTTCACCTGTGTCCGTCTGGGTTTGAGCCTGCAGTTCATGAACAGGCTCTTCATCCCAGGATTCTTCATAGGCATGGAAGCCATAGTTCTCGTCAAGGTCATAGTCCCAGGAGCTCCAATCATCAGTGCCCACATAGGCATGCCAGTTCCAGCTGTCTTCATCCTCCCACCAATCATCGGCAGCTTGGGAGGCACAGAGCTCTTGAAACATTGCTTGTTGGCCAAATGAACCATTTCTACCCCCCAACAACTGATCATCCCAAAGGGTCTGAAGAGCTTGGGTGACAGTTTCGAACTCCAAGGAACCTTTGGTGGTGGAAATGATGTCCCGTTTTTCATCAGGGTTCAAACCAGCTGCTTGAAGAAGTCTGAACCCCCTCAACACTCCAAGTACAAATGAATCCGCTAATGAAAGTTCGTCGAGAGGCTTGGCCTGAGCAGGCGAGGTCTTCTCCACTGCGGGAGTTCCAGCCGAGCCATGGTGACTAGGCGAGCCACCCATGTCCTGAGGGCCAGCGGCAGCAGATGTCGTTGATGCTGAAGGCTTCAACTTGGGATCTTGATCCTCCTTGGAATCTTCTTCATCATCAGGAGGTGGCTCTTCGGCGTCCGGCCACCACTCATCCCATTCATCCCATTCTTCAGCATCATCAGGCAAGCCGAAGTCCTTCTCCTCCGGCTTGATGCCAAGCTTGTCCTCGTGGAGCCTTGAAATGGCCTCAACGAACTCGGAATAGCCCAAAGCTTCCCTCACCAGGAAAGAATTCATGGCTTCTCCCTGATGACGTTTGAAGGAGAAGTATTGGCTGCAGATCGCAGCCGCATTTGGAAGGGCTTGACGTACCAAGGGGCTCGCGGCCAGAAGACGAAGCATCTCCTTCGTGCCGCCGGAGCTGTCAAAGTCCACATTGGCCCATGACATAGCCAGGAGCCTTGCTGGACCGGTGAGGCGACTGATGATCTTCGTGGCACAGTAGCGTCGCTTGTGCTGTGGAGTAGCCCTGAGGTACCAACCTACCTCTCGAGTGAATCGCCTCCAGGTCCGAGCTTCCCCATTCCACGTGGGGATATGTCCGCTGTCTTTGTCAGCCATGGTGCAAGGTCAAGGGTCCAGGTTCTATCACCTGGAAGTGCAAAACAAATGAAGTCCCACCAAAATCAGGTAATCGAGGAACACTATGTCTCGTGCACTGAGGTGGGAGAAAAAACAAAAGCCAGCTTTCCGAGGAGATCGAATCCCTTGAAGATGTTCTCAACTACAGGAAAGCAAGGTCAGGTCCCTGGAGCGGATTGCTCCGCTACCAATGCAGCGGAGGTAGCTGCACTGGTAGCGTAGCGGGCTATCAAAAGGAGGTGGTGGTAGCGAACACGATGCGAGCCCACCCAACCAAGGATCGCAATGATCCGGAGCACCTTTTCTCAAGTGCCGTCGAAAGGCCTCCTAGGCCTGTGTAGCCACCATGGCCGAGTTCCGACCAACGATCCGTGGATCAAAAGGGGGCCTCCTGGTTTGGGCCATACACAAATGGAGAAAACATGGTGGCACCTGAAACATGTCCCAAAGCTGCACATTCCAAAATATTAAGATCAAAAAACAATGTTCAAGGAGTGTTAGGAGGGACCGGGACCTTCCAAGAATATCAGAACATCAAGCCAAGTGCACTGCATTGTTTGCTGCATTTTGCATATTTTTGAAGTGGGCAGCAGATGCAAATTATGAATAATATTTGTTTTATTGGGAGGTTTGCACATGGACATGCAAAACATGCTGTACTTTACAATGCTTTATGCATATTAATACCTGGACCAAGGGACATTTACATCCCTAGGAGCACCCCTTCTGTCAAGATATGAGACCCGCCTCTAAACAACGGGTTTTCAAGCTGCCCATCTCACACGCCTGCTTTTGAACGCTTTGTACGAGCGGTTTCGTGAGCAACCAACTTCCAGAAAGACCTCCACACCCCATTGTCATCCATTGTCACAAATCATGCTGTGACCTCGTTTTGACAAACCCAAGAGATCTCCATCACAACTATGCATTTTACATTACTTGTCTATTCTGTATGTCAACTCTTATAATTCTTGGTTCTTGGCACAAAAGACCCACACTTCATGGATCCCATTGTCCACCAGTGCCCACCGCCCCCCCCCGGACAAGAATAAGACACACAGCGGGTACCAAATTACAAAACTTTGGGTTCTTTGAAGCTGTCAAGGCAGACGAACCCAGTCATTTTGAGAGGGTATTGGCCATGGCCGTCCATGGCCCCTCCAATGGTGTGCACCGTGGCGCACGGTGACCTCCCTGTGGACTCGGGGAGGGGCAGTACTTCGCCCAGGTGTACAAGGCGATGAAGTGCACTCACCTTGGGGAGTTGCTGGGCCCATGTGGTGCTTCGTACCGGCGTGGACCTGCTTTGCCCGGGATGGAAACGCCTGTTGATGTGAACAGTCTCGACCCAGGACTACGCGTATATACGGGACCTTCCTGTATGTTCTAAACCCAAAATTTGCCCCCCAAAAAAGCGGGTATTGGACACTTTTTGTGAGATGGCGCCATGGGTTTGACAGCTGGCGTTTGCGCTTGATCGACGGCTGTAAAGATGCGAATGTTCCCTCAGAGAGGATACGCGGCTACAGTGTTGCTACGCGTCAAGTGATTGAGAATTTCTCCAGGATGCAGTCCTTTGCGGTCATCAACCTGGTGTTCTTTTACATTCTTTCAAAATTGCGTACTGAATCCTGCATGTTTCCGTTTTACTATTTTTGGCTGTGAGGCTGCGACGCGCTCTCCCCGGAGAATTTGGGCGAAACTATGAAAAAGGCTGGAATTGTGATGGCTGCGAGCGACACTTCTCACGAGGCGGGATGATGGCGCAGGTTTGAGACGGTCGCGAGGTCAGTGAGGATGCTGCGGGTTAGGTTAGGCCGTTAGGTGTTGACTTGTTTGTCAAATTGTCCATCAATCTAGGTGACCTCGCGTGAAGGTAGGTAACCGCATGTAACCGCTAAGCTATCATGTTGTGTTTATATTTCTTTAAAGTGATGTAGTTGACATTAGCACATCATTGTTTGTGACGCACAAATTGTAGAGACAGGATTCCAACATCAAACAGGAGAAGACGAAGACTTTTTTTCAACCAGGAACGTGGCTACACCGCTGCGACAGTTGCCAGATCGACTTCTGTGAAGAGTGTGCGAAGGCGTAGCATGTCACCATTGTCCAGATCAATTTTTCGGTGCACTGATTCGCCTTAATGGTTCTTAAATATTATCATTATAAGACAAGGATAAGCCAATTATATATGCATATTATATGTTATTGGGAGTGCAGGTGAAAAGGTGCCCAAGTCTCTCAAGCACGAGAGGCGATGATTCCGTTGCAGAGGGCGTGACCTTCAAACATGATTGTTTCATTTGTTTCCTTTTGAGATTGTTCGGTGCCATTCTCAAAAATACTGCCATATTTGATAAGAACCTGTGTTTTAGACTTTTGTGGTGGAAACGCGATAAACATAAGATGCAACCGGAAGGGGCCCTTTGTAACTTCTCTACTTTATGTTTTCCGCAGACCCAGACCAACAGCAATTCATTGATTCATGCAAGTGAGCCCAAGCCCTAAAGGCTTTCCGAGGAGCGCTCTTCCTCCCAACGACTGCGGACCATTTTGCTGTTGGGTTGCAAGGTGTGTTTCACCGTGTTCACTGTATTCATCCTTCTTCACTGTTCACTGTTGTTCTTGTGGGAGGATTCGGCGGAATTGTCGACTTTGGAGCGTTATTGGGAGAGATTTGAGGGCAAGATTTTTCCACATTTGGCCCTTTGTGAATCCGTTTATGACTCTTTGAGTGCTTAGAAGGAACTAAGCTTTGGCTATATGTGGTCTCATGAGTGGTCCCATGCTCTCCGCTAAAAATTGTTTTCATTTTGTTCGTTTTGTCCAGCCATCAATAAGGTGTATTTCGAGGACATCTAGGTACATTCATAGACAGCCCGTCGGCTCCTTGTCGCTGTGCCTTTGTAACGGCTATCATGATGCCACACATGCCCAATCAATTCTCAATCTGTTAGTTCAGAGCTAAGAACGACAACAAACATCAGCCAGGAAAACAAACACAATTTTGTAAATCCTATTTTATACAAATCAGCCAGATCCTTTCATTGGCAACCCAATGATCCTGCTTATGGTCCTACAGGAGAACAGCGGCCCCCCCAGCACGGAGAACTGAGAGCTCCTTCTTTCGTGCGAACTGATGCTGTCTTGATTAAATGATTGTTTGAACAATTTCACCCTGGAACTTTCCAGGAATCCGATTGGCTTTGCCTTGGCCAAAAGGAACAGCGGACCTGTTTCAAAGCGAAGATTCGACTTCCACAGCCGTGAGGTTAAGGTTTCCAGTTGGTGGCATTTCTAGTGGAGTGTTGTTCTGCATGGCTAGGCGCCGAGCCATGGATTAATCAGGTGGTTGAACCCTTTAAGCCTTCTAGGTCAAGCATCAACTCTACGAAACTGCTTGGAAGGGAACATGGCAGGAACGGCATGCGTGTTCTACTCTTCAGGATTTGTCAATCGTGTTCTACACATGTGGATCGAGTTTTGAGGCACCAGGCGCCGTGTTCGTACCAGAGATGTGTGACGAACCCGCCGCCGTTGCAAGCGCTGGACGAACATCTCCCTTTTCGGACCATGAGGCCTCCGCTGAAGCCCCTGAGCCGGACAACGCGACAGGGTGGATTGAAGACAAGTGAACCTCACGTAGCATCCAAGAAGTGGTGCCACCATGCACGCATGAATACACTTCAATGTAATGTGTGGCATAGATCTGTGGCATAGATCAGTTCATATCATTTTATTCCATGCAAGGGTTACTTTGGGAAACTTGCCAGATGAATTGACTTGCAACGGGCCGTCTCACATTTGGATACATTTGGAACATTTACAGGTGGTTGCTGCCAATTGACAGGATCAATATGGGAATTGTATCAGGCAGCTGGTATAAGTTGCTTTTTGCACGTTGATGTAGGGAGGCATTTTGTGACCTAAAAGCCTTAATGATGTGCCGTTCATTTGTCATATTTTGTACTTGTTTCTCAGGTTCCATGGCAGTCCAGCTCAGATGACTGCGGCCGCTTTGCCCATGCTGGGCTTCTGTATCAACCGCATGTCCATGAACGAGCACCTGGGATTTTTCTCCTTCTTCATTGCCATAGGCCAGGCTCCCGGTCCCATGTGGTCCACACAGCATAGATTGCCCCACCAGAGTAGAACCAATATATTCAGGTCGGCGAGAGCGAGATCAACTCTTTGCCTCAACCCATGTTCACCAGGGGTTGGTTTTGCACGAGCTGCGTTGACCACATGACGGCAATGGGATCTACGATGTTGTTGTTTCCGTGTTTATGTACGTGCATGTGAACACCAGAACTCTCTTTGGACAGGATGTTGAGTAGGATAGTAGGACAGTCACGAGTCATGACTGTTGCAACTGCGGGGGTCGAAGCGGATATAAGCCGGGTGATGTTGGTGGAGGTGAGAGTCCAGGATGAGACCCAAGCTTTTCTCAGATGCAGACGGATGCAACTCAAGAGCTGTGAGGCTTAGTGATGCTTGGGCTTTGTTGGGGCCTCGGTCCTGCCTTCTTCCCACGAGTAGACCATCCATTGCACAAGCTGGATCGAATACGCTGGAGTCATGGCCAGAAGATCAGGCGGCATTTGGGACATTTTGGGTCGTCAACAAACTGAGAACATGGAGACGAACCACCCACCAAATGCTTGGTTCTGACCTTTTCTTCCAATTCGGTCTCTATGTGTCCGATCTTTCCGGAAGTTAGCAATGCTGTGACCCAATCCTGTGTCCGTGGTAAAGACAATTGCCCTAGGCCCGCACTGCAACTTTTCCATTCGGGTTGTCCAGTGCCCAGGATTTGTGGATGCATTTGCTTCCTTGTCCTGGTTGTATCTTCCATGGTCTCCGATGGTGCGGTCCATGCAGCTGGGCGACATGGATTCCCACATGTGTCGTGTTTCCCATGAGAGATGTTCATTTCCTTCGTGCGGATTCATTGTCCTCCCCACTCGCACATTCCGCTTTTGGGCTGACTCATCCCAATCCCAAGAGGAAGCCAGCTGCTTCTGAAAAAACAGGTCTTCCTACGGCTACGTCCTCACATGCAGCTGAGTCTGGAGGACTTTGCGGAGGGAAAAGCGGATGGTGCCGGTCTGGTGACCCTGGAGGCTCATTTGGATCTCAGCCGCATAGGCGCCCAGAAACGCAACGCGCGTGACCTTGGACCGGTCCTTGGGAGTATCATGTGTTGCTATGACTTCAGGGGGGAAGAGCGGGATTTGCCGAGATGCCGGGCCCAAAGAGTGTGGCAAGGGAATGCTGAAGAGATTGGAAGGCAGTCAGGTTTAAATGGCACTGGGTCTGGAATTGGGATCTGTAATTCCACAGTCAGTCAGACTCACAAGAATTCAACATACAACACGTTACCTTGCAGAAGCAGCCAGCAGCTTTGTATGGGCATCATTTTCTCGGCGATTCTTCCAGAAGGGTTGCCAGGAGGATCCATACAACAACGACAAGACGGCAGTCCGTTCCTAGCTCACCAGAAAGATCTTGGGAGAAAACTGTTTGAACAGGTTTGATCTTGGCCCTCGCAGGTTCAGAGTGGCGTTCAACGTCGAGAAATCAATTGTGGCACGTTCGCTCTTGTTTCTGTGAGAGGATCAGACCTCAATCCCTGGAAGAGACGCTACTAGGGGGAGACCATCGCTATTAGGTTAGATGCCATCGCTACTAGGAGCAAGAAGCTGCTAGCAACAAGGCTGTTCATGGCTTCCAGACTATCGGTTTCCACGAGTCTCCACAACTCCACAACTGTCCAGGGTTGCTCAAGAAACATAAAGGGATAGGTGTGAGAATGATGACAGTGAGCCTGATGCTATGGGAGGATTGAGCATTTTTCAGTGTGGCCGCCTGTGATTTCACGGTCGTCATTCAAGGGTAAGGTGTTTGACGCATTGACCAAAATATGAGCTCGCGTGTTGTGCGTAGGTGCTGCAGCCCATTGCTCAGATTGCACTGCTAGTTGCATACCAGCACTGGTCAAAGTTGTTCTTTGTGGTTTAAGGTGTGTTTGTGCTTGTCGAGTTGCTCCCCAGGCCACATTGTTTAGCGTAATTGCTTCAAACATGCGTTCCATGTCGATGATCGATCCATAATCCAGCAGTCACTCCCAGGTGAATGCGCAAAGAAGGACTGTCGAGCAGAGGCCGGTTTAAGCCCTTTATCCTCGGAGATTCCCCTACTGCGCATCGATGACCTGGACGCTTACAGCGACAGCTCCGAGCTGTTTGGGCGTCGGCTCTCCGGCGCGGGCGCAGGAGGAGGCGGAGGTGGAGGCGGAAGCTCTTCTGGAAAAAAGCAATGCTCCATTACTTGCGTGTATGCAGCGCCCTTGAGCCTGAGCCTGTGGCTGAAACTTGCATTGGGTGGCCGCGATCATAAAATTCACTGTTGCCTCATCCCAAATTAGCGGCCTCAAAAACCGCCTACTATACTTTCTTGTATAATCCCGGCTTGCTTTCGCAGAGCTTTCGTGAGGTGCGATTTGGCTTTCGCGGAAGGTGTGGTGTTATGTGGGTCTTTCGCGTATCGTTTCGCGATGATGCGTTTTGTTTTGGCTTTCGCGAAAGCATGTGAGTTTATACTATACACTTTGTACACTTTTCTTGCCCGTGGTTCGAGTGCACTCAGATGGTGCCGGTGGGCAGAGGAAAGGAAGAGAAGGAAACTGAAAGGGAAGGGACGAAGGGGAAGGCAAGGGGCAAGGGCTCAGGTTTTTGCCGCAATGTTTGAGGTTGACTGATTTGATTCAACACTAGCTGTGATGCTCACCCAGTTCAAAATCAATCTTTGACGATGGGCATGACGACCCACTAAGGACTTCTGATGCCGATTTCCCGATGGCCTGGGCCGTGGGGAGCTCATGGCTTCCACGGCACCCCTCCGGCACCACGAAATTCACCTGGTGGACCGGGGAGCGCCAAGACTATGCGCGACGCTGGGTTTGGGAGCACGTCGTTTCGTTGGCGTTGCTTTGTTTTTTTGTTGGGGGTGGTGGCATACCATGGGCCCCGATGTTCATTTGATCATTAGTTAAGTGCAAGGGCGTCTAGGACGATCAAAAAATCAAGGCTACTGGCTAGACTAAAGACTGAGGCAGAAATGTTGTTGGTGATGGTGAGGATCATGTGCTCATGCTCATGTGACTCATGTGTGCTACAAGCCAACCCCCCCCAAATGGATGCTTTAGGGCTTGCTCCAGTATACAAAAGAATTTTGCGTTTGTTTTGGCCGCAGCCCATGTTAGAGGGATAAGGAGGGGCAGTAGATGATGGTGGACTCTCACATCCGGTTGCCTACCACTCTAAGGAGCCATGGATGAAGCTGTAGCACAACAGCTGCCAGAGAGGCTGAAGGCTTTCACCCACCGGGCAGTCTGACACCTGATGGAGGGTAATCCAGTGTCCGAAATTTGGCAAGTAGCAGCTAACATACATGACATGTTACTTGGCACAGCATGTTTTTAACAAGGGCCACCCCAGGCTCAAGGATCGGACGTTGGAGAGCTTCTCGACGGCCAAAATGTTCGACCACAATACACAATACACTATTTGAGACTTTTTTAGATTAATTTTACGATATAGATTAGATGGAGAGAGAGAGAGAGGGATATATATATATATAATGAGAATGGTATATATATATATATCCAAGAAACGTTGTACAAAATCTCATATGATATATGTATGCTATATTGGTTATATGATACAGTACACAGTATATATATATACATATCTATTGATCATACATGTATACATACATACATATATATATATATACATATATATATATGGGCTCGTGACGATTTGGGGGCCCCCTGTGAGATAAGATAAGCATTATTTCCAAGTATGGTTTATAAACTAGCCTTATAGTTTATAAACCATATCTGCTGATGACGAGAAGACCGGGTCTGATGAAAGTGCTGCCTCAGATTCTTCGTCCTCAAGTTCCTCCACCAAGGGCGCCAAGCGGCGGCGCTTGTTGAATATGGCCCTGACCAACCTCGAGAGCCTGCAGAGGAACCTGCAGGCGGTGCATTCTGACTGTCATGACTGCAGCCGCCTCATTGTGCAGACCATCAACGCGATCAAGGAAGCCATCTGAGCATTGTCTGGCAAGAACCCTGAGAAAAAAAATCTGTCTTGCTGCTGCTCCTCAGACGGGGCCCCCAAAACGTCGGGCGCCCTATATGGGTATATATCACGAAACTTGCTTGAGACCCTGTTCCCACAGACCCCTTTCCTCCAAACCTCTCTAAACATCTCTAAACCTACTCTAAACAATTAGAGTGAATTAGAGTGGGTGAGAGATACGAGCATGGGGGCATCCCCCATTATGGTCAAGATTGCGATGCAACTCTGTTTCTTAGAGTAAATTTTAACAGGGTAGTTTAGAGTGCAACTCTTTTTTAAAGTGCTACCCTAAAACTTTAGAGTAGTACTCTCAACCTCTCTAATCCTCTGAAAAATTAGAGGAACAGGGTTTGTGGCCAGAAATAGCTTGTGTAACTTGAGATTCCTCTAGCTATCCACAGCTAATTCTACCGGAACCCAGTCCACACACACAGAATAGCTTGAGAGTACTAGTGGAACCCAATCCACACATACAGAATTAGCAAGGAATCTCAGGTTACACAAGCTATTTCTGGCCACTGTTCCTCTAATTGTTTAGAAAGGATTAGAGAGGTTTAGAGTACTACTCTAAAGTTTTAGAGAAGCACTCTAAGCTACTGTGATATTTTAGAGTGTGCCTTTAAAACTCCTAATTCTTGGTGTGGGGGTGTGGGGATGCACTCCACTGGGTGAGAGAATGAACTCAAAATCATGAGTCAATGAAGGACACTCTAAAGTTATCTAATTTTTGGAGTGGTTTAGAGTTTAGATCATCTAAGATTTTCAGGAATGAATGTGTATTTAGAGTAGTTTAGAGTGGTTTAGAGTAGGTTTAGAGTAAAATAGTTTAGAGTAGATTTAGAGTAGGTTTAGAGTGAGTGGTTTAGAGTAGGCTTAGAGTAAGTTTAGAGTAGGCAAGAGTAGTTTAGATACATTAGAGGAACAGGGTCTGTGGGAAAAGGGTATCACGCAATCTTCCTGAATATATATATATATGTATAAATATATATATATATATATTATATATATATGCACATACGATATATTGTGTACGACATGTATCACTTCTACGAATCAATCGTGCGGCAAGTGCTCCAATTGATTGACGCCGGTCACCCAAACTCGCGGCCAAGCGACGACACGTTGGTGCAGACACCGAGAGAAACCGCACCGCCGCAGCAAAGAAAGACACCCGGATTCAGGCATGTGATGGGCAACGAGCTGTTCCAAACTCTGAGAATTGGTGGAGTAAATGCCGCAGCTTCTCGGTGTTTGTAAGGACCACTTGACAGACATCCAGCTGCTTAGTTTTAAGATTATGCATGTATAGTCATATTCCCAGACACTCCAGGTTTGCCCCTCCAAAACCTGATTTAAAACTAAACTCCAGGCCCAAGACTCAACTTGGTGTCCATGAGTGCTTGGGTCTGCCACAGTCGTCGTTTCCGTCTCGTTGTTTTCGTGTCCGAACCCTCCGGATGTTTCAACGGCGAACCCCCCGAGGCTCGGGCTTCATCAATTGCCGCGCGAGAAGCCTTGCGGGAAAGTCGTTGGGCAAAGACTGTTCTTTCCGAGTCAGGAAAGGCATACAAGTGGATGGCCCAATCTGTTTGTAGAGAAGAATATGTGTTTGTTCCATTCCAGGAAGTTCGAAGGGCCGATTTTTGACTCCCATGATACTTCGGGGTGTGTAATTACTTCTGAAATTCCCTTCAGCCATTTGAAGCCCATGCTGCTTTTACTTCGGGTTGTGTTGGATGACTTGAAGGCACAGGCTGCACAGTTTGTGCAGCAGGTCCTTAAGGTGCCTTGACGTCCTAAGCTTTCTGGTATTGCACGATGAAGGTTCTTCTTCCATGTAGGACTGGCGGAACAGACTCTAATTCTTGTCCCGCAAGCGGTTGCGTATTGCGACGAGAATCACATCCACAAGACAGTGGAAGCGTCCGAACAGGACACCAGAATCCTAGAATGCCACCCATGCCCAGGTGTTGCTGTCACGTGGGTGAACGATTGGGAGACTCTTGGAAGAGATGTGCATGGGCTACATAAGGCTTATTCAAGATCGCAAGCAGACATGGATAGGTGCCTGCCATTAGGTGCACCTCGGAAACGTTTGGACATGGGGACTTCGGATCTTGCAGCTAAGGACAATGGTTGTGAGAGCTGTGGAGCTCTCCAGGAGAGGCTGTCAGCCTTACATCAGCTGCCCCTTTTGCACCTTGACAGCCACCAATGCATTGAATGGTCACAGAACGGCAGCTGTCAGCTAGCAGCTAGGGCTTTTCTTTTGGATTGAAGTGCCTGTGGTGTGCTTGAACATGGTGCTCCAAGGTACTCTCTAGCTCCAGATGCTGGGCTACGAAGTTTCTACCTGATGCTGATTTGTTCCTTTGTGCCTGGGATTAACTAATTATTCTCGGGGCGTTGGGGCTCAGTCAGCAGAGAACAAAGAGCTTGAACGCACGGTATCACTGTGTCCTTTCATTGGGATTGTGACGGGGGGGCGAGTGTATGTATGGTCTACTAAGATGCCTTTGGGCGCTCGGGGTGGTCGATCGTTTTTCCTTCAGATCGGCTCTAAAACCTGACAAACCATTTCCGCACAACCTTGGGACAGGGTCATCTAGATTGCTTGGGAGAGATGCAATGAAGCTATTTTAAATCAGTTCATGCCATGCCGTTTTTCCTTTCACAGCGCTACATGGGATACATATCACACAGCCCGCGTCTCACGTAACCAGGTACTGCTACCGCTCCCCTGGGCGGTCCTAGCACGTGTGCTTTGGCAATTGGCCGAGCCCACCGAGAGCTTTCTGCAGCATGAGGCACGGCATCAGCGGAAGCACATCGCGGAGATGCTTGGAGCTGAACTTGTTGGGACACCATGGGCTCCTGGCACTACTAGGAACAAGGACGCTACTAGGAGCAAAGGGCATCGCTACTAGGAGCAAGGACGCTACTAGGGGCTCCTGGCCTTACTACTAGGAGCAAGAATGCTACTAGGGGCTCCTGGCCTTACTAGAAACGAGAAGCTAAATGGGTAGACATAGTAGACATGGCGCCTTTGCGTTGCTGTGCGCGGTTGTAGGGGCGACTTGAAGGAGCCGGCAGTATCCAGATCGCATAGAGTTGTTTGGAGCTGCAAGGAGTTGTTTGTTGCTGGTAAAAGCTTGCAGATTGCATGTTTGGGCCAATCCCTGGGCCCTCAGCATCATCATCCATTGTTCAGTGGTGCAAGAGGGAACCGCGCAGACATTCAACTCGCATAACATTCCAGCTTTTTTGAACTAAACAAGCGTGAATTGCTGTGATGATAGGATAGATCGTTAGCAACCTCAGAAGCGGTTGAACGACTCATGCTCATCTCCCAGTGTGGTCAGTCCAACTTTTGGCAGTTTCTCCAGTCCAGCATTTCCAGAAACTAGAACTTGTTTATATCCGCTGGTGCAATTCCCACGTTGGGGATTAGCGGCTGGGTGCTCCTAGATGCAACGCCCATCGCTGCATGCCAGGCTTCCAAACCCTGACTGCTAAGGACCTGGACGGGCACTGCAAACCTCCATGGTCCTTTGTCTATCCAAGTGGTGAACATGGCTGGACAGTGCCGAGCCATGGCAGCAGCACCTTTCAACCAGGGTACGCTGTTGGTGCCTTCGTGTCATGCAAAGATGAATTGTGCAATTGTGTGCTTATTGATATGTAATCAGGTTTTTCTTCCAGATTTGCTTTGATTGATATGTCATTAGCTTTTTCTTCCAAAGTTGCTTTGATATGGACCCCACTTTGGTTGCAAGCTTCGAAGGGGGGGGCAAATGCGTGCAATGGACTGGCCCTACCTGCTGATACAGACACGAGCCAATGCAAGAATATTGTAATTGCGGGTGTCCTTTTCTAAAAAAATTGGGATGATGCTGACAAGGTGCCCAGCTGCTAAGGAACCGTCTCGGGGTTCAGAGAAAGCTCACTGTTGGTCCATTTGCGCAGATCAGTTGCAGAGGTGTTCAGCTGCTTGTTTGCAAAGATGCCAGGACCTGGTTTTGAGTGAAAGCTCAGATACATCCCATCCACCATCAATTCCATATTGCTGCGGATACGCAACACTGTAACATGCAACACAAGAAATCAATCAACATCATATAATATACTAATCTACACATCCACAAAGATCACTCACGCAGCAGGTCCCTTCCATTGGGTATTGGGGTTGTTGCTGTGCATGCTCCCTCCCGCCACTACTAGCAGTACCTGGTGATTGGGCTTTGGGATTCTGGAGATTCCTGGCACCACAAAAGTGCGTTGAGAAAGGACCTGCTAGGTACTGCATCTTGTTATTTTGTTTGGCTCACACGCAGGAATTTAAAAGATTTGCAATGTCCAAGGTGTGGATTTTCAGCAGATTGGCTTGGTGTTTGGCGGTGAGCTTCTTTCACCTGACTTGGATTTTAAGACTCTGGGCACCTTGGTCGCCTTGGTCTTTTGAGTTAGCGACGAGGGAAGAAGGAGATCGCCCCTTTTGAGCCTGAAGTGGAAGATTTGGGTGAGGTGTTTGACAAGTTCCTACTTTGTGCAGGGGCAATGCCAATTTTGTCTTTGGAAGAGAGGCAGCATGCCACCGGGCCTGCACAGTGGTTCAACATGCCACAGGGGGCCATTGCGCAGGCCACGGAGGTTCATTGTCTCGTCGTGTGTTCCCTGAGCCATTTACATACGAAGCTGATGCTGAAGGCGATTTGGGTATCCACGATGAATGCACAGTGTCCTTTGTCCTCTCACAGGCAGGGTGGCTTTGCAACATTTTGCAACCATTGCTTGATACTTGCATATTTACACTTACACCCTGGAGCATGGACCTGAAAGCCACTCCATGTGAATCTTTCCAGGTGCAAGACTTTTGTTGTTCCAGTGGTCAATCGGTGTGCCGAGCTGGAGCAGTTTCTTAAGACCCACGCAGGTAGAGTCCACTCCGCGAAAGGAGAGGCTGGCGGGCCACTCTGAAGGCAACGCCCTCGCTTTCTTTCGGCGCAACCGCAACGTGCCGGGGCATTGTTTGGCCGAATCACCCTTTTGCTTGCTGCACCGCGGTGGTGTGATTTTGACTTGTGCAAAGGACTGCAGGCAATTCTTACATTCAAACACTTTTCAGGTATAGTATTCATTGCTCAAAGAAGTGAAGTGATTGTTTGCCTGATGCTGCTGCTTTGAACCTGACATCCAATGCAGCACAAAACAAGTATCAGGTTGACCTTGCGAACCTTTCCAACATGGTAAGCCATGCGTTTGATCAGTTTGTGCATGTTGCCTTGGTATGTTGCTCGCAGCTGAGAGAGCTGCTTTGACTTGTGAATCTCAATAAAAACATGCTGAATTGTCAACCTGTGATTTGCAATCCTGGACTTGGTGTTTGGATGCTTCGAAGCATTGCTGGCCTGGCTTGGTGCAATAAATGACCTGCGAAGTGCAAAGCCGAGGTGTACAAAGCGCTTGATTGCCCTCACCTGGGACAGTTCCTTAATTAAATTGGACATGAAGGAATGGACTGAATCTTATTGCCAACGTCACCTGTGAACTGATCTCGAAGAGGGATTTGAGAGCTCTAAGGTCAAGAAACAGAACAATCTCACTCCGAACTTCCGAACTCTATAATTATATATATATACTTCATTATATCGCTCTTGGAAACCGCTGAGTGGAGCTTTGCAGAACGATCCGATCTGCAATCACGCTGGAAAGGTCCCGGTACGGCGTCAAATGCGTAGGGTCCGCAGGCGAGGAATAGAGGAATTCTTGCTTTCCAAAGTTCGACCTTTAAAGTTACATGTAGATTCCCGTGTGGCGTTGCTGTTCGTAAGGGGGGGATCTGGAGCACCATCTGGAGGACTTGGAAGGGTCGTAGCACTACTGTGATTTTGACATTTCGTGATGGCTGAAGAGAAGCTAGATTTTAGCTACTGGCTGGATGAACTGGTTGCTGCTGATCCGTGCTCGGACCAGGACTTTTGACGGCTAAGAGTAAAGACTGGGATTGACAACTATAAGCTTAATATAAGTGACTGCAAGCAAACAACCCCTTCGCAAACTTTTTCCAGAAACTGATCGGTGCTTTTTCTATAAGGTCAGGTCAACCGCCTGGATTCAATCCGATTCGTCCACACCTCGCTGAAGTGCAACTGGACCTTCAAACGCTCGCGAGGTTGCGCCTGGCGCGGGGCACGGTGGCCAACTTCGGCCGCGAATACGCCAAGGGATGGAACTGCGACGGCTGTGAGCGCCATTTCGCTTCAGGCATTGGGGTGCGTGGGAAGGAAGGAAGGATAGTGCATGATGGTGTTGAGACAAGGGCAGAGGTGATATTGGTCAGATTCTTTTGTGCATTATGTTTCATATTATGACGATAGGAAAATGAAGGAACTTCCCTTCCAGTGCCTGTGATTCCATCTGAATCCCTTACTTCCACGGCTAGGTACACAGCTCTACCGCTGCGACTTTTGTCAGATCGACTTCTGTCAAGAATGCGCCGCGGAGTAGGAGCGCATTGGCCATGTCGCCATCCTAGGGTGAATGAGTAGGGTCCAAAGCCACAAGAAAAGAATATCATTGATTTATATTAGTTGATTTGTCAGGCTGTTGGGTGGCATCATGTGCTGACTGGAATTGATAATTAATCAAGTTAATATATAAGTCTACCTCGCTTGCGATGCATTGAGGTGCTTTTTGTTTGTGACAGCGCCAGGACTGGAGTTTGGTGTTGCCGATTTCACAACCCCAGTCTTGCAGGAGGGGCGGCGTGCCTTACAAGCATGCAGGAGCTTAGTGAGAACTGCTCCTAGAGCCGTGCTATGCCGTGCTATGTGTTTGCCCGGAATCACCCTACTTCCATTGAGCAGTATCGATGCAATTCAGTGTTTGTTAGTCCTCATGTCGAGCTGTTCGACGCTGTTCATCTCAAGATTTCAGTAAGTTCGGATGCTTTGGCATTTGAGATTTCCAAGTGCCGTTACTTCATGTACAGGGAAGCGGCGCTCAGGGGAAAAGGAACGCAGGTCAGGTCAAGCCGCCTGGTCACACAGCGCCATGCCACGCGTTGTCGCGCGGCTTAGCGGCTGGTCGGAGGGTCTTTCTTCCCCCCACGCAGGCAGAAGCGGTGTCCAACTATGGCCAACTGAAGCGCCAGAAGGGTGAGGCTGAGAAGTGGTAGAGGAAGTGACTTTTCAGTGAAGCGGAGGCTGCAGTGGAACAACATTTGAGGACCTTGTGGCAGCCATTGTGGCAGAAACAGATCGAATTGAGGGCCTCGTGGACGCTGAAGCCTCCAAAACTAGTTATGTCAAAGTAGCTTTTCTAAATTAGAAGAGGATCAGTTCAGTACATGGAGAGCCTCAATTGACTCAAGAAAGGGAGAATCCGGACACACACAATCCTCCACCCTCGAGGTGTGCCTTGTCGTTTTTGTTGAGTGTATCCTCAGCATTCCTCAGCTTCGTGCCCATATAACCCTCATCAAATGCTGGCCATGTTGTGCCAAAGGCCCGGAGCTCGCCGGACATCAACCACTGGCGTCTTCGACCTCGAGTGACGTCGGTGAAGACGTGGAAGGATTTGAGGCCGCAAAAGGAAGGCTCTTGAACAGATACGGTATATATTATATAGTATATATCAGTCATATACAGTATAGATTTTACTGTACAAAAGGCAATATTTGGACCAGAAAGCGCCTCCATTTGGATCATCCTCTGTGCTTCAGCTCCCAAGTTGCTGGGACTGCTGGGGAAGTTTGTGGAGGTGAGGTTAGCCGAATGAATGAGTGTTGTTTGTTTTGTGGTTTCTGTTTGCTTCCATAAGCTGATCCATGACCAGGTCATCCAGTTTATGTATTGTTATATGTTGATGTATCATCTTCACTGCGGAGCCCCCGTTTCGAGAAGAGTTTGTCCAACGAGTAGGTCAAGAGATCGCCTGACCCACTTTGTGGTTTGTGCCAATCCACTGGGCACCCCTTGAACTTCAATATGTCGGGAATACCCAAGTACGTCAATATACTTCAATTAATAAGCACCAAACAAGCACCGGACAAGTGCTTTCAATAAAGAAGCGGACTGGATATTACTGGAGCACTTTACATCAAGTTGAATATCTGGTTCTTTTTAGTATGACTCAAAAATTAAATATATGAAACTATGAATACCACAAATACAACAACAATTCAGTATACAACCAAATAACACAATAACATGCCAACAACCATCAATTTGTTGTCCGATCCCCTTGAAATGGTCCAACATCTACTTCCCTGGACTAGAGGCACAAGGCCATTCCCATATGTTCCCACCTCACTACCCCTGAGGCCTTCACTAGTACAACAAGCTGCGGCTGCCGCAGTGTCAGCGCAGCAGGCCGAAAGCACAGGCGCTCCCTTTGAAAAAAGGTGTTCCCGACCTCGGTTTGGCCCCTCCACCGGCCCAAATGGCTCCTCGCAAACAAAAATGTGTTACTGTTCAGACGACCGGCACCTGTTTCTCCTGCAGGTGCTCCAGACATGCGGAGGGGTCTTTCCAAAAGCTCCCTTGCTTCAAACTCGGAGGCAGGGATGGGTCGTCATGTGCGCCTATTTGGGCCGCAATGCTGCTTGCTTATGTGTGGTGTGTTTTCCACAGCGCCATGTGAAGCGTTCTGGGAAAGACGATCTTTGAGCCAGTCAGTCCAAGCTCCGAGCTGTCCTTCAGCTATACCAAAATTTGTTGAGCATGTGTCTTAAAACCCATACAAAGACCTTGCCGCGGGTCAATGTTTCCTTATTTCCAGCTACTCCCGAGGTTCGATTAGGTGTGTAGTTTTGCGCCCAACTGCCACTTGAGCATATTCAACGTGTCAAACGTGAAAACCTGAACCTGCCTTTGCATGCAAGACATCTAGCTACACACACATGTAATGAGCGCGCGGGACCTCTGGAATTGTTTAATCGATCCCTCATCACATGTAAAGTATAGGTGTACAGTTATATCCGGTGTGCTATGTTGAAAACAGTGCAAGGCTATTTGGTTCCTATCATGTGTCCGTTGGACCTCCGTCGCTGATGAGTTTGGATCCCGTGAAAGAACGGTCTATGTCTGTTGGAGTCACCGACTGTTCCGACATGGTGCAGATGCCTGATGATGCACCTGTGTTTGGGGGTTATTGTTGTATCATGGTGTTATGCTAAATGTTATTCCCTTCATAATTCATTGCTAAAGACAGGCGGGTGGGTGGGAAGATTGGCCAGAGGGCCGGCTGAATCGCAATCTGGCGCATGGAATGCCAGGAGACGCATTTGACGCCCTTTGAAAGTGTGGCTGGGGATCTCAGTATGACATCGCTGGTGTGGTGTTCAGTCCTTCACTCGCCATTGGATGCTGTTTGCTGAGTGAAATCTGCGGTGTTGCTCCTTCTGTTGCTGGACTGAGGGATGCTTCTGGCATTGCAGTTTTGTGGTTGGAGTTACCAAGCTGAAGTGCAGTTATCCAAAGGCCGTTGACTAGTCCTCCTAGCCATTGCTGGATGAAGTGCAAAACACAGTTTGTCTATGTATATATATATACATACGTGTGTGTGTGTGTTTTTTCAATGTGTTTCAATGCATTTGTTTGCGTTGCCAGTCTGCCAAGCTGCCACACAAGATATATAAATGAATTTAAATTAAGACCAATAGACTTTTGGAGGTTCAATCATGTTCATCTAACAATCTCACCCCCTTGACTTTGGGTGTTAGGAGCGTTCCCAGGTCCTAGAACGCCGCAAAGCCCGTGCAGCGCGCGCGGAGCGGGAACGGGAGCGGTGGCAGGAGCCGGAACGGGGTGCTTGTGCTGTTGTGAATGGGTTCGTACGGTAGCGTGGTGATGGTGGACATGTTGGAAGAGGTTGGAATCCAAGGGACCCGATGGGGTGCGTATTATACGCTTATATAAGAGTTCAGCCGGAACTCATGGAGTTTTTTCTCCTGAGCTGCAGCGTAGAGTCGTTTTTGATCTTGCTTGCTTTAATCATGAGCATCGCCAGGAGGCAGCACTTCCAAAGCAAGACGCGGAGACCATTGACAGTGCCAGGCGCATGCAACAGAACCGTGCCTTGCACGAGAGTTACTCTTACAGTACCCTTGGCGAATGTGTCCGGTATCCTTCTCGACCTCGAGTTGGAAATGTCCGAGACGTATCGTTTCACAGAATGTACAGCTTCAAACAGGGGCTTGGCTTCTCAGCTATGGATTGAGCTTGCACTGGTTGAAGCTAGAGTGGCAGTCCTGTTGCTTTTTCTCGGCCAACTTGATTCATTTTGGAACGTTCACAGCGTCCTTAAGATAGAATGTCCCGCCCAAGAAAAGTGGGCGCCAAACCTGACTGGGCATTACCAAGTATCAGCATGGACATGCTCACAAGCAGCATCAGCATATGCACCCGCACACACACACACACACCCGTGTTACCTATTGTGCGTCAATGACAGTGTTTGTCAGTGTGATTTGTGGACGACATTGGGGTGAACAACGAAAACATTGCCAAACTGTAGTTTTATATATATATATACACAGTATACCGCCTACGTAACAAGTCAATGAACTCGATTGACGTTCCTTTTTGTTTAGATTCATGCAAGAATTTCTGCAACTGTGATACAGGCCGCCAACTCCCTCCTACCCTTCGCCATTCAAAGAGCTGCTTTGTCGCGAGCACACGGGTCTCGTGCCGGGCGATGCTGTGATATGTTTGATTGTTTTGAATTTTGAATATTGTTTGGTGGATGCGTCCAACATGGTTTACACACAGATAATTACTTGTAGTTTACCGATATTGGTATATACTTGTGCTTTAGTGCTATATAAGGCTATATATGTGTTTTTGGAGCTGCACCGCCTGAGAGACCTGTGAGTCACGAATCTCAGAAGTTGGCTTGTGCAAGATGTGACCACAAAGTGCCCAACGCAAAGGTGTTACTAAGGCCATGAGTTGGTAGCAGACCTATATAGGTGTTGAGCTCCAATATTCCCTACTAGCCTACTACTGGCTGGAGGCTAAATCGTCAAATACAGGGGTCCATTCTTTTTCAGAGTCCAGTTGAGGAACGTAGCGGTTGAAATATTGCTTGATTATGGCCTTTTAAGCCTTGCCAACCATCAAATATCGAAATGAGAAGAGTTGGACCCTGGACCCTGATGTGTTTTGTGCCGATGAATTGGGCTTCACAATTGACTAATGTGGATTGCCAGGCCAGCATCATGTCAATGTTGATGTTTTGGCTTACAGAATGCCCCATGCGTCCTGTTTTGTGAGCCCTTGCCACATGCATCCTTTTCCATACAGTCCCCAGGTGGACTATCGAGGACTATGAAGAAAAGCCGTAAAGTTTCAAGGTAGGACTCAGCCCCACCTGCCACCAAGCGAAAGATGCTTTGGGTTTGTTTCGATCAGCCTTTAAGTGAAGGCTTCGTTGCTACACCACCTCCGCCTGAGGCAGCCGGCGCCGCCGCCCATGCCGCCGGAGTGGAGCAAGGGCCTTTGGGAGCAGCGGAAGCGCGAGCTCGCGGAGGAACGCCGGAAGCGTGAGGCCACGCTGGGCTCACCGGGTCGGATTTGGGTTCCGATCGGTCGGATCGAGATGGGGGATCCAATGAAGGTCATGAACTCATATGACTCATATATGTTTGGTTGTTCTATAATTTTGCAAATGACCTCCCATTGTTTCGGTGGACACGGGACGTTGAGCTTCTATGAGGAGTTGAAGCAGAGACTTGGGAAGAATGCAGAGGTTTGAAGGTTGAAGCAGCCCCCTGCATCACTAATATAAGACAAATTATACAGAAACTACTGCAGTGATTGGACCTTGGGATTTGCAAGTGGCAATCACATCACATGCTGGGGCGGATGGAGGAAGACACTTTTGCAGTAAGTGTCTTGTTGTGGCAGTGGTGGACTTGCGAAGGATCCGCAAATGGTGTGGCAACTTAGAAAGGGGGACACGGACTCGGACTAAGACTGCTTGGTGTCCTTCGGTGCTTTTCAGACGT